TATCCAAACTAATTTAGGGGGAAAAAATTTTAAACTTTGAGAAAATTAAATTTTAAATAACTTAAATTTTACTGTTTAAAGAAGTTTAGATTAAGAATTTCCCTAAGAATAAACAGTAATAATTATTGCCATTTCTATCCTTCTACCTTTAGAGTTTTAATTTATTGGGCATCTTTTTAATTTCCCCAAATCCCCAAACTCCATCACACAATTTTTTATTATATAATTTGTATTTATTGAATGTAAATCCTTATATTAGTAGTTTAATATGGAAACTTTACAAATAAATTTTTAATATTTAAATGCTTAATGTATAAATTCATCATATCTTGAGAGCCAAAATTCCTTTCAAATATCAAGAAGGTAAACATATAATTGCCACTCTTTCCATCAGAGTTTCAAAGGTAATGCTAGATACTCAGAATTAATATTAATGTATTCCATTTCCATCTGAGAGCTAGAGGGTCAATGAGAAAATCCTTGCACCTTGTCTTAGTATTCCCACTTGTATGTCTAACTTTGTCTAAGTAGCTAACTTTGTCAAAGTTAAAGTGATTATATAAGGGTTGAATTGATTAAATGGACTATAAAACACCTGTCAAGAGTTTCAGTTGAGTATCAAGATATTCCAGAAAGGCAAGCTCCATGTCCTCAAGCTGATTACTTTCAAGTGAACTGGAGAATCACCAAAAGGCTTGATCCTGGAGTAAAAGAGAGGTTAGGAAGCCAAAGTCAAGCATGATTTTTTTCCATAATTTAGTGCAGAAATAGCACATGACTTATTCATTATCACAGTTGAACAGCTAGAGTGGCAGAAAAGCCCTTTTTTCTTCTAAGCCCTTGAATGCTGTTTCCATCATCTGCTATAGTGGTTACTACATACATAAGAGTGACAATACATTGCATTATTTCTTTCCACAGCCTCAGAAACTTGCCTGTGCTGTAATGAGAAGAGAGTTTAAGGATTTTTTTATTGGCATCAATATTATTTCTTGATTAATTGCATAATATATACATAACAAGAAAACATGAATTCAGGCATTCTCTAGAATTTCTAGGATATGGTTATTGCCTCCAGGTTTTTGGTAAAGAATGAAAAGGACCTACTAGTTATTTGATATTGACCATAGTTTCTTGGAATTCTGCAAAATTCTATAAATTATTTTAAGGCATGAAAATATATGAAACAGTTTTCAGGAAAATTGTAAGTTTCAAGTTTTCTAAAACACCTATGGGTAGATTTGATTGAAGATTTAAAGCCAAGTATCAAGTGGTCAATGCTGACTCTGGTAGCATTGTAAATACTCCTTAGTAATTGTATAGGACAGCCAATTGTAAGGACACAATATGAAAAACTTATTTAAAAGTGTTTGGTTTCTAATTGAATAACACACTTGCACAACTGCTAGAGTTTTTGTCCTTGATGTAGGGTAAACCGTTCCTTTATAAGGAATAACTGATGTTTATAATTTACTTGTAATAAATAGTTACATGGCTATGCAAATGAAAATATAGATTTCCTTTTCAGAGCTTTGTGACTTCTTACACTAACTCACTAGTTAAGAAAGGTAAAAGATGGTCATACTATTTTACTTCTTTTGCATAAGTTTAGAAAAACGTATTTTCTACTTAAAAAACACAGTTAATTAAAATATACTTCTACAGTGGCCTCCAAAATAAGTCACTTTTAATGCCCATTGTCAACATTTATACCTAAGAGGGCACCCTTGGGGTTGAAGAAAGCTGGAACTAACAGTATTCAAAGAATGTCAACACCAGTCCTTCCTTTGCCAGAAAAGATCATTAGTTAGCAATATGAGTCAGATGCTGCTTCTACACACCTTGCCAGACCCTGGAGCAACACATTTTCTTAGAGCCTGAATTTGGCTTCCTATGTGGCAGCATGACTGGCCACTACTACTCAGTGTTGGGCAAGTCTATGAACACATCCACTGATAATTTCTATATTTATAGAAAGCCAGAACATGTGTAGATAATCACACAATTGGATATTTATGTAGTGCCAGATTTTATGAATACAAGAATTTGTTAATTAGCACAAGGACTAATCATTAAAATTCAAAAATAGATAAATAAACAGGAATGCCATTTATTTGTTAACATTTTGGGGGAAAGTATGCAGCTGCTATCCTTTTGATGAATATAGGCTTCTGCAGAGAAATAAGAAGAAAATGTATCTGCAATTTTTGAGACCCTAATGAGTAAGATCCAAGAAACCACTATATTGTCTTTGCATTAAAAATAATCATAGTGATTCACCCCTTAAGTTAAAAAAAACAAAAAGTTTAAACTGGCATGTGCTTAGCACTTGAATTATACTGTTTGGCATTCCACTGTTTTGGTCCTTTTCAAAGAGCCAAAGCTGATTTTCATCGGATAGGAGTTAAAAAGCATACACACGTCACTCAGTACCAAATTGTTTTAGCTACAGGGCATGGCAAAGCATGAAATAACTGCTTTAGAGCACTTCCTCATGTGGGTGTGTTAGATAACTGTCTGCTCCAACATTAAAATGAAACACACTGTGACCTGACCAAAGCTTCAGGAATCTAAACAGGCAGATTTCATGTGCTGATAGGTAGAGCCCACCATAACCAGCAAGGCTGGTTAATGAATTTTTCTGGCATCCTATAGCCCTCCTGTGACGCAGGCCTTTCAGCTTTCCAAATCCCTATACAGCAGAACACACTGGTTTTAAGTTTACTTATGCACATTTTACAATGTCCTGCTGTATTTGGATTGTGATAGTTCCTTCCAGAAAAAGGGCAAGATTACTTTTCATACTAAAAATATCTTAAATCTATCCAAGGCTAAGAATTATGATGCAAAAGAAAATATATACACATTCTGAAAATTAAAACAACCACAAACCAACTAAAATCTTGCTTATTATTTCTAGAAGGTTAAAATAAATTTTCATTTTCTCATGAATTATCTCCATTTTTTGTTTGCTTATGAGTAACATAAATATACTTAATGTGAAATTTTTAAAAACTCATATCAGCAAAGAATCTGTGATTCTTTATCTGTATACACATCTATGAATAAAGGCACAGAAATGCACACCAATATTTCCACACATACATGTGTACAGAAAAAAAAACTTAGTCAAGAGATATGTAAAAATTTTCTTTAAAAATATGAACAGAATCTTAGATAGTTTTAACATATGAATATAGAAAATGACAGGTGCAAGAAAACATGTACTTTTTTACCTCCTTAGCTTTGAAAGCAAATTTTGGGGTCAGAGTCTGAAATGGAAGAAATCAAATTTAAAATACCATTTACTGTGTGTCATATTAATATGCAGTTACAAAAAACTTCCCCCAAAGTTCCCCTTAAACCTTTGAGGGGGAAAAAAAGTCTCTGGCAGGACCTGATTGAGTGTACTTTGTATTTGTACTATTGTTGGTCAAATCTGGTTTTCCCAGCTTAAAAGACACTTTAGGAAAAAAAGCAAAAAATCTAAATGTTTTTTAAAAAGTGGTAAAAGAGACTACTAGCAGCAAAAGTTCACCACCCTCCTGCAATAATGGATTTTTAATAAACATTTTACTAGATTTGAACCTTGAGAATGTGTTTGGGAATCTGTTCTAGCCTCCCAGGTGGGTTAAGAATATTGCTTATGCACTTCTTTGTGTTGTTAGAAAGGCCTAATGGAATTAAGAAGGTGGGGGGGGGGGTCTGCCACTTATATTAAATAAATAATTTATTTTAAAAAAGGTGTTATTATCAAAGATCTCTACAGATGAGCATCCATTTTCTATCCTTAGTCTTTTACATACTGAAAACATTCATTGTGTCTTAATTTTTATCAAATGAATAGCAGTTTTGCTTTCAGACAATCCAAATAAAAATTAAAGAAGTCTGTTTCAACTGGACATTACATAACTACTCCTCTGAATTTTGGAGAATATTGTTCTGGGAAAACTGATCAATAATATCAGCTAGTTTGAAACATAACTTTCCCCACCACAAAAAAAAAAAAGGAGAAAGAAAAAGAAAGCACCTCAAAACTGTATTTGAAATAACAAATACACTATTTATGGTCCCAAAATGTTAAATGAATACTTACAGTTGTTGCACAAGATGGCCTGATACACTTCATAACTTCCACTTTGTAAAAAGATGGCCAACCCCCCTCCCCTCTTTTCCCAAGCATAAATAAACAGTAACATACTAAAAGGAAACTATCCTAGGATAAAAACTGCTTGTTAAGAAAGTTTTCATTCTTCTAACCACAATGATAGTCCTATAAATGCAAAAGTCCATTTGTAAACTAACAGTTAGAAAACAGAGCACCCTATTTCTTTCAAAATGTAACCCTGGATGAAATATTTCCATGTATGTGATGATAAAAACAATTACTTATTTCTTGCCTACCCTCAGCAACTACTCCTCATTTTATATACGACATCAAATAAACATGCTGGCAAAAGTATTCAACCTGCTTCAAGGATTTAAACTGTAAATATGGACTTTAAACTTCAATGTAAAACAAAGAACAAGTCTCACTTTAGTAATACCCACACTGGCACTGCAGCTAAAACTCATTGGCAAATAACTAACAAAACCCAGTTAGCAATAAATAAGGACAACATGATATATAGACAGACAGATGGAATTGCATAAACAGACAAGAAAAGCAAAGAGACAAACATACGGAGGAGTCTGTTTTAAAAGAGTGAAAGATTCTGATTTGTTTGGTACTTTAGTGAGAAAACAGGTTTGCAATTATTTTTAAAGTAATAAAACTGAATCACAAGGTCACACCCTTAAATAAGTAACAAGAAAATTAGTAGAGGTTAGGCCTCCTATGTATGTTCCAAATTTTAAGCTAGCATTAGCTCTGTCAAATTTAAATATGGAAATTAAAATTCAAGGAAGAAAGGATAAAAGCATTAGGAACTAGAAGATGATAGATGGAGGGGTGATTGAGGCAGCAGGATTTTTTTTTTTATGAAAGTTGTCTTCCCTACCTTCTTCCCCAGCGCTGAGTTTCTCTTCTCATAATCGGTGTCTCCCTGGAAGTACAGTGTGAGTGGTAATGACTGCCTGCCTCCCTAATGAGTCCATTTTCCTGCTCTTGATGTTGTGTATATACACACACTGCAACCTACCTTACAAACCACAGAGACGGGAAGAGAGAGAGAGAGAGCAAGAGAGAGGGAGGGACAGGGGGGCAGAGAGAGAAAGAGAGACAGACAGCAACCAAGCGAGTGAGAGAGAGAGGAGAGAGAAAGAAAAACAGAAAGAAACAGAGAGAGAAAGGCACAGACAAAGCCCTCCTACCAGACAGCAGACAGCCCTCCTTCCCCTATCCAGTAAAATGCAACTCGTCTAATGCAGCAACAGGTTCAGTATTGCTAGGCTAACAGAGTGAAAAGGTATATTCTCTATATCATTACTGCTTGCAAATAAACAGTTTAAGAGCAGCTGGCTCCACCTTCTTTATTTATGCTCCATTATGAGGAATGTATTGTTTCAGTTCTGGCACACAGTACGTGTAATTATCATAAATACATTTTTCACATATTAGCAAGAAATAGTGAAATGCACAGCTTATTTTTGCAATCTTTTAAATTTATTTTTTAATGTGAGAAAAATGTCAACAAATCTGTTCTGACAAAAGCCTATTATTAATGATTTTAAAGTCAGGGCAGTCTTAAAGGAGACTCTGTGAGAAACAGACTCATACGATAGGAAAACTGATCTCAGACAAAATTGGTAACTGCAAAGAAGAAATCATTGCTCAGTAAATAAATCAAGACCATATAGAAAATTGCAGACAAAAACAGAATTAAGTTTAATTAAGTTACTAATAGGCTAGTACTCTAGAAGAAGGCAGACTGGCTTCTCATTTGAAGGATCTGGCTATACAAACATTACAATGCAGTGTACTCTGTATGAACAGGTGCAATGCAAATAAGTACATAGTACGTAACAACAAAAATCCCTTAAGAAGATACCATCACAGGCAGACAAGATTTCTTAGAATATGGATCTGAAACTATCATAGATATAACTTGATCTTTTATTATGAGGAAAAAATTAAAATAATCAATGCTTCTAAATAAACTTTCCTTAAAAGAATAAAAATGTTTTGTCTGACATCTCTCATCAAATGTTTTTTCACATTCGAGCTCCAAAATAATGTTGTTGTTATGTTCCTCGCCTATCACATGTCCCATGCCCTTTCCTAACTCCTAGGTGCCTTTTTTCCCTTAAGTGACATATTTGCAACTTCAGAATTACAAACACCAGAAAATAGAACTAGTTTCAAGCCATTCTCCTCCTCCTTCAATTTTTCAAAACTAGACTCTGCCTGATGAGTTGCACTTCATTCTAGCACTGTATCAATCTAGACACCCACCCTCATTAATGTTTCTATACAGTTTGCCCGTGTGGCATTCAGATAGGATTAAGGAACATTAGAAAAGAGGCAAATTTTTCTAAAGAAATTTTTTAATAAATAAAAGAGTACATTTGAATTATTCCAACCCTGCATTTGGGCACCAATAATCCTAAGTATATTGATTATAAAATCATCCTTTTATATATCTTGGCATATTACTGTGCTTCAAAAATGTGTTACTTTGTATAGTCAAAACTACCATATTATATTATGTAAGCTTCAATTCCTTTGCTTAAAAATTAGTTTTCCATTAAAAGGTAAATATCTTAAATACTTCAATATGTAACTCAATTCACTTTCTTTATAAATCTTTTAGAATGTCAGGTAAATCCTGGATCATGTTCAAAACACAGATTAACAGTATTTGAGCTATTTTAATGGTTGAGAACCTACAACATAAAAAATTAAAAGTTAATGTCTACCCATACAAGTTATCCTAAGAAAACTCTAGTGAGAAGCCAAGTGTCCAGGACCCCTAGTCTCATTGTAAATCCAATTCTACTTCTCTGATGCATCACTAGCATCTTATCCTCTCAAGAGTGGCTGCTTAAAAAGGAAATAAACCCACACTAAAATTGACTACCAAACCCCTACTTTGGTGACATATCTGGAGAAAACCCTAGGTGTATCCAAGGTACCTGCATGCTTCTCACTTCTTATTGTTCTTATTGTTCTGGTAGCAGCTCGGTTTTTCTATATTGCCTGATTGTCTCTCTGAAGTTTTATTCAAATGTATCAAGAGAAATTATGTTAACACAAGTACACAATCCTTATTAGTTTGTATGTTTTGACTTTTGAAAATAAGGTTCAAGGTTTTTGTTGTTGTTGTTTTCTATTGTTTTAATCCTAAGAAAACAAGAAGACAGTATTTGACTTTTGAAGGTAGGAATCAAAGGGAATGTAAAAGTCCAAGAAGGCTTTTCACCTTTTCTAATGAAAAACTAGAGAGGTGAATTTAAAAGAGAAAAACAAGCATTTTGGCCTAGTGAAAAAGCACAACATTTCCAATACTTTCCCCATATCTACATAYTTCCAAGTATAATAAGTATAAAAATAATAAACATTGTTACTATTTTCTGGACCTTCACATATGCTCTTTCTTGCTGAGACTAGAGAGTGGGAAGACTTCAATTAACCAGAATACTAAGTGAAATGATATAGCCTTCCCTGGGTATCTGAGAGGAATTGGTTCCAGGGCCCCTACAAATGCCAAAGATGCTCAAGTCCCTAATACAAAAATCATATTATTTTCATATGATCTACACATATCTTCCTATACACTTTAAATTCTTCTCTAGATTACTTATGATACCTAACATAATGTAAATGCCATGAAATAGCTATTATACTATACGAAATAATAAGAAAAAGTCTGCACACAGTAACAATGTGATTTTTTCCCCAACATTTTTTTTATCATCTCCTGGTTGAATCTGTAGACACAAAACCCATAATATGGAGAACTTACAGTAATCTTGATTGACTATCATACTGTGGAATTTATAAACTTATTTAATTTTTTCCTATGTTAATATGTCATGCAGGCAATTTCATTCTGTTAAAATATCCTAAACAGGGATTTAAAAACTAGTCCACTTCTAAATGGACTTAAGACTCAGTGCAATCCAAACCAAAAATCCCAGAAAGCTATTTTGTAGACATTGACAAACTGATTGTAAAATTTATATTGAGAGGCAAAAGATCCCAAATAACCATATGCTATTGAAGAAGATAAACAAAGCTGGAAAAACTACAGTGATCAAGTATGGTATTGGCAAACAAAGAGACAGAACCATGGAAAAAAATAGAGAGGTGAGAAATAGATCCACATAAATCTAATCAGCTGAACTTTAACAAAATAGAAAAGGCAATACAATGGAGTAAAGACAATCTTTTCCAACAAGTATTGCTGGAACAACTGGACATTCACATGTACGGAGAGCAGGAGGAGGAATCTAGAAACAGACTTTACCCCTTTCACAAAAATTAACTTAAAATGGATCACAGGCCTCAATGTAACACACAAAACTCCAAGACTCCAAAGGTATTAAATCTAGATGGCCCTGAGTTTGGCAATGACTTTTTAGATGATATACCAAAGACATGGTCCATGAAAGAAAGAAATGGTATGTAAAACTTCATTAAATTAAAAAATGTCTTCCCTAGATTATTTATGATAAGAATTTAAAATTAAAAATGTGAAAGACAGTTTCAAGAGAATAAGAAAAGCTACAGACTGGAAAATATAATTGCAGAAGACATATACTAGAAATGATTGATCCCAAATAAGCAAAGACGTCTTTAAATTCAACAATTAGAAAAAGAAAAAACCTGATTAAAAAGTGGACCAAAGAGCTTAACAGACACCTTACCAAAGAAGATATATGAATGGCAAATAGGTACATAGAAAGGTATTGCATATCATATATCATCAAAAAATGCAAATTAAAAGAATGAGATTAAAACACTGACAATACCAAATACTAGTGAATATGTGGAGTAACGGAAGCTCTCATTCATTGTTGGTGGGAATACAAAATGTTTTAACCACTTTGAAAGACAGCTGATTGTTTCTTACAAAACTAAATAGACTCTTATCATGTGATCCAGCAATCACATTCCTTGTTATTTGTGTAAAGGAGGTGAAAACTTATATCTATACAAAAACCTGAACAGAGATGTTTATAGCAGTTTTATTCATAATTCCTCAATCTTGGATGTAATCAAGATGTTCTTTAGTAGATGGATAATAGATGAACTGCAGTACAGTCAGACAATGGAATATGTATTCAATACTACAAAGAAATGAGATATCGAGCTCTGAAATGACACAGAGAAAACTCAAATGCATATTACTAAATGAAAGAAGCTAATGTGAAAAGTCTAAACACCATATGATTCCAACTATCTGACTTCCCAGAAAAAGCAAAATTATGAGAGAGTAAAAAAGTCAATGGTTGCCAGGGATTAGGGTACAAGAATGATGAACAGAAAAAAATCATACAATATTTTTAGGGTAGTGAAAGTACTCTGTATGATCCAGTGGTGGCAGATATATGTGATTATAAATTTCTTCAAACCCATAGAATGGGGCTGGGATTGTAGCTCAGTGGTACAGCACTTGCCTAGCATGTGTGAGGTACTGGGATGGATCCTCAGCACCACATAAATAAATAAAGCAAATGTATTGTGTCCATCTGTAACTAAAAGTAAAAAAAAAAATTAAACTCATACAATGTACACCCCCAAGAGTAAATAAATCTAGATGTTAAATATGGATTTTGGGTGATAATGATGTGTCAATGTAAATTCATTCATTGTAACTCATGTAGCACTCTAGTGGGGGATATAGATAAGATGAAGGGGCGATGGATAGGTGAGAGCAGGGAGTATGAGAAATCCTTGTACCTTCCTCTCATATAAGCTGTGAATCTAAAACTCTTTGAAAATGAAGTCTATTAACAAATTTAAAAAAAATCCATTTCAGTCTCTACATTGCCACTAAACTTTGCATACCCTGGCAAGTCCTGTAACCACCCTCAATCAGCTTCAGTAAATATAATAAAAAACAAAATAACTAAAAGTAGCTCAATGGCAAAGCACTTGCCTAGCATGTGTGGGGCACTGGTTCAATACTCAGCACTACATAAAAAAATAAAATAATAAACAAAGATATTCTGAGTC